ATGTTTGCGTGTTTGCTTGTCGTTAGTGGTCTCTCCACCGTGTGCCTTTTTCTGTCTCTTATTTCTTGTTATTTTCGTCCTGGTCCCTTTTTGTCCTCGCTCTTTTTATTTCATTTTCTCTTTCTACTGTTTCATTTTATTTTTCTTCTCTTTTTCTCTTGTTCTCTTTTCTCTCTTTTTCTGTGCCAGATGGCCTTGTTTCTGCTTGCGTTGTGAAGTACCAAGATTGAATCAAGGGGGTGTGCCTCATTCTCTCCGGCCCGTGATAGCGACTCCTAGTCTCAGTTGTTACCTCACATAGCGCGCAGAGGGAGTGGAGGACTCCAGAATATCTGGCGTTGATTCCTATTGACTTGCGGACCCCTCGGGGCCATTTTATTTGAGTGTACCTTTTTAGGGTAAGTTAGCCTGCGACCACGGGAATCGACCGCGTCGAGTGTTGTATCAGTACGGACATACATATGAAGGTACTGGGTAGAGAGAGATCGGAACGATTTTCAATGTGAAGAGAACAACAACAACAACAAAAACAACTGCTTCGAACAGTCTGTTGCCTTCATCTGTTGCCTTCATTTTGATGTCATTTCTTCTCCGCTCCCCGTTGATGTGGTATGTCTCCTCACTCTGCGTCGCTCGCTCGCGGAACCTGTCGCTCTTTTGCTCTACTCTCTCCATCGATCGATACCCACATGACATTGCATGCCAGTCTCTCTCTTCCCTCTTACACACCAGCCTGTCTGTGTCTCGGCTCTCACATGGTGCATGACAGTCGGGACCTTATGTGGAAAAGAGGGTTTCGTCCTCGACAGACGTTGGGGAGTTTCATCCTTTATGATGTTCTCCACATTATCCCCCCCTGTTTCGAGGCTTCTTCTTGTTTGCTAGGCAAGAGAAGTCTTCTTGCGGTAACCGGAACCCGACCGGCTGGCGGCGAGTAGAACCACCTTTTTTCCAACAATCTTCTGTGCGTATGTGCGGGTACACCACTTCCGCCACGCATTGCCAGAAGTTTCGAGTTCGATAGACAGTGCATCGTTTCTTGGCCCACCCACCGCTTTCTTTTTCCGTACCCCGGAAGAAAATTAGGTGAGCAGCGGGTTTTGAACCCGTGTCTTTTGCCACCAAAAGCAGACACCTGACATCTCTTCGTCGACGCCATTGTGGAAAAGAGGGTATCGTCCTCGACAGACGTTGGGGAGTTTCAACCTTTATGAAGGTAACAGGGTTTTCGCACGATTGAGAGCGAAGTTTCCGATTGAGAGCGAGAACCATAAAAAACTTTTCCGAAGCGTTAAGAACCACCCTAAGGCACTCCGGCACTCACTCCGGGTGTGGGCGGTCAGCCATCTTATACTTACCGCAGCATCGCAAACGAAAGAAAGCAAATAAGCCGTCTACCGTCAGTTGATTGTCACAAGCCGGGATAGGGGTAGGTACACGAAGCCAGCGCGGTTATGTATTACTCACCCCTTTCGAACTCCGAAACAAACAAGAGAGGGAGGTTTACTGTGTACAGCAGAAATAAGGTGTACCCTCCACCAAGACTAGATTACGTAGTCTATGTGAAAATAATATTAGACTACAACAACATAGAATAGCCTCCGTAGTCTAGTGTAATCTACACCAAGAGTTTTCACCGCAACGCTACATAGTCTACATACAGCAGTAGTCTCAGTGTTCAACATAACGGTCCTACCTACCGGACCCCACGGGCTCCGGACGCACAACAATCACACAAAGAAAGGGTCCAAAAACACAAGCAATATCCTCATCTTGTGTCACTCATGATGACAGCTACATGTTCGCGCAGCGGCAGAGAGAGGTCTTCTCCCCGGAGGCTTTCGAAAGCAAACGTCGCCACAATATAAAGAGGGTTTCACACCAAGCCGGCCGCACCATCGTCATCATTGCAGCTGTCGTTCGCCACCAAACCTGGTGCATCTACTGCTGCTGGCTTAACACTCCGACGGTAAAGGCCGGTCATTGTCGCCAAGAGCGCGTAGACCCGTTGTAGTCGTATTCGCCATGTTCGATCTTCAACGCTAACAGCAACGCTATTGTCATGGTTGTCTGAAGTGCCACCCCCCCCAATCTCTCGGCCTTCGGTGATGTATTCCACGGGGTCTCTGTTCGCGCTGCTCCCACGACTGCCCCCGCCTATTCGCAACGGTCCGCGACCGTCACCCTTCGCACCGTCGCCTGTACCACAAGCCACTCGCCCGATTTTTCTCCAACCGCTAGTGCTACTTCTTCTATTAGGAGATGATCCAACGACATCGATGGCTGTGGGGGGCGTCGCCCACGGCGGCGGTAAAGGCGAAGATGCGGCCCTGCCGCCTCGTTCTGTCGACGGAGAACTGGCGGCGCAGGCAAGACCCTGACATTTGGCGCTTGCGCCGCCACCGCCACGGCCGCCACCACTACCAACACCACCAACACCGCCGCCGGTACTTGCACGGCCGCCACCTTTGCGCCCGCCGCTACCATCACCTACCGCGGTGTCGGCGCTACAATCGGTACCGACCAGCCTCGCTCGGCCTCTCGTGGAGCTTCGCACCGGACGGACGGGCGATACGGAGGAAGGAGGGGACACAGAACAACACGAAGAGGAAGAACCCGATGATGGAGAATCACTGCGAACCACAACTACCGGGCTGCTTCTCACTTTGCGCGACAACGCTGTCGAACGCGGAGTTACCTTGCCGCCACCCATCCCTACCGCGGGAGAGGTTCGATCCGATGCTGCTATTGCTGGCCGGAGGTTGTTGACATTCGTATCGGTCCGCGAGTTCGGGGGTGCGTGGCGACAGTGAGCAAGCACGAACGGGTTGTGGTTAGAAGGAGGCGAGAGGAACCCGAGGATGGATATGAACGCGTGCTTATGACGGACTGGGCCATTGGAAACCATGCGCTTTGAATCCCCGTCCAGGTACTTTCGACTACGTAATATATGATGCCAATGGTCGGAAGGCTCTAGAAAGACAGGCACACCGAAGTCACACCTTCCTCATGTCTCCTCAGAGATTTCCGTGGGCAAGAGTGATCAACTACGAGGTGGTGAGGATACTTAGGGTTAAGAAGGTTGGGAGACGTCTCCGACAACGCTGCGGCGTTAGAGCCCATTCATATGCCAGGGAAACCAGTTGCTGCGTATTTCTTGTAACGTCGAGGGCGGGTGGGCGCGCGCAACGATGTCTATGCAATCCGGCGTGGCGCCCTGTGGTTTGGCTTGCCTATTGAGTGTTTGATATCGAGAGAGGTTTGGTGTGGGAGTCGGCGACAACACCATCAACGCAGCAACGACAACATCGACGGCAGAGCAGCAAGTGATCGCGTACCATCAACAGCGAAACAGCAACAACGTACTTCGATTCGATGGCAACCAAACTTGTCTTTGCACCTAGTGGATTTCTTGAGGAAGAAAGTCGTCGGATTACGGCAACTTCTCCACCGGTCACCATCATGAAGCGCATCACATCCCTGTTCTTGGTGGCCCACTCCATGTACCTGTCGTCGTTGCCAGAGTAGAGGGGTCGAGGGTCAACGTGCGTCAAAAAGCGGTGCTGGTGATCATCACCCACACGAGAACGATACCATGGGGCATTGAAAACGCACGAAGTCATACCCGCGAGGTAATTGTTCTGAATTATTTAGACTATGCTATTGTAACAGTAGTCGAAAGTGGTTAAGCATGGGTCTTCCATGTACGCTCTTGAAATGGGGTAGAGTTGAAGTAAAGAGGGGAATCTCCACACGTGTCACTGACTATCCTTGCTCGTCGGAATGGGTAAACCCACCGTCAAGGAGTTGTATCTGACCCCACGAGTAAATCTCGATCGTTCACGAGGCACCTGAACTACGTGCACATACCGAACGTTGACGTCCCCCAAGGTCAGATCCGAAACGAACCTAGACCCGGAAAAACGGAATCACAACCAAGTGCATTTCTGCACCTCGTCGTGTTATGCCTCAAGGATCGCTCCCTGAGACTTCCCTCGAGCACCCTGATTGATCTGGATTTCCCACGTCCAGACCCCTAAGGGTACCGTCAACAGGTGTGTTGCTCCCCTTGCGGGGAGCCCACGCGAAGAAACACCACCAGTCAACCACCAAGACATCCCCCCCCAGCATAGACCGTGGTACACGGCCATGTAGCGGGGAAACAGGTGGTCAATAGGTGTGATTTTCCTCGATAATGGCTCTCTCCCCAAGTAAGACCCCACAAGAATCTCAACTCGGGAAGTAGCGCGCGAGAAAAAGGTGGCCTCGCGCTCATGAAGAGGTTGATCTTGTACTGTAGTCGACATCGATCGTACATCTCGTGAAGTCGTTGATCTTGCCATCTAGAATCGCCATAAAAAACACTGCCGCCACACACACCCCAGCTCGAAGCACGGGGTGCGAAAAGCTGCCGGCAGTGTCATTAGGCCTCTTGCGATGCCGGTGGAATCTGCGCCGCCAATGCCACGCCCTGGCGTAGCTCCCTCCTTGTGAGCTCCTCCCAATCGTCGTCGCTGAACTTCACTCTCCAGTAGGGGTCGTAGAAGTCGCAGACTTTGCCCCGGCTCACGACGACGTTGCCGTCCGAGTCCAGAAGCTCCCTGGCGACCTCGGTGTCGAGCGGAAACTCCTTTAAGGCAGCCTCCCTTGTGGCTACCTCGTGTTCTCCTCTGGATAGTGCTCCAGGCGGTCGTGGGGCGACGTCGGTGCCGTGGTAGTCCTCGCAGAGAGCGTGGAAGATGCCAAGCTGTAGCGGCGAAAAGCTGTCCTTGACGGTGTCCTCCGTGAGCCAGTCAGAGGGAGTGCCCTCCTGGTACTTGCCCTTGTACTCCCACGCCCACGCAGTGGGTGCTCCTCCAGCCTGCGTGGTTCGCCGGTCGAAGAGAGTGTAGAGTGGAGCCGCCACCACAGAATCTTCTACGAGGCCGAGGTCGGGCTCCCACACGTAGTGCGCGAACTCGTCCTCGAAGGCAAGTCGCACGTCGAGCGGCCGCGAGTAAAATGGTTTCATGTCGGATGCTGCCACCGTTCTCTGACGGACGTGACGTTCGTTGAGCCTCACGGTAAAGCTCAGCCCGGCACAAACTACGGTGATCACCACCCAAGGTCCCGTGAAGTGGTCGTGGGCTAGCTTGGGGTGGGTCCCATCACGGTGAAGGGTGCTGGCGCTCTCTCTCACCAACACCTTGTCGCCCTCCTTTGCCTTCGCTCCTGGAGAAGTCCGTGAAAATCGTGCATTTTGAAGGTTGCGCTGCCGATTCTTCTCGGCTTGCCTCTTCCGCAGTGCTTCAGTCACCTGGATATGCTTGTGACGAGTCTCCTCCACGGACGGCTCCAAGCCCAAGGCAGCACCCGAGTTGTCCAAAGACGGTGCTAGCTGATCCAGTGGCGTTCTCGGTGATCGCCCGAACAGCATCTGACATGGCGAGGCGTTGCCGGGAAGACTCTCATCCTGCTGCATCCTGTGGGTCCACGTGGCGACGGTGACGTACTCCTCCCATCGCCGCGGCCACGCCTGGCAAAGCTCCGAAAGCAGTTGTGCGAGGACCGCTCCCATCCTTTCCACAGTTCCTTGTCCCCTGGGGTGGTTGGCCGGTCCGAAGTCAAGAGACACCTTCAACCAGCGGCACGGGTGCTCCATGATCTCGGAGGTGTTGTCCCTTCCCGGGTCGCAGCGAATCGACGTAGGGAGTCCGAAAATGAGGAGCAGCCCCAGAAGCTTACGGCTGACTCCCACCCTTTCCTTGGTCTTTAGCGGGAATCCGAAGAGGAACTTGGTAGCGCGGTCCACCCCCACCAGCAGGTACCTGCTGCCCGAGTTGGCCACCGTCTTCATGTCGAGGATGTCCAACTCGAGAACATCCCAGGGCCGTAGGAAACGTGCTGGCAGCATGCGCAGTTGTGCGCTCGATGGCCTCTTACTCATGCGACACCGGCACGATGTCACATAGCGCCGCACGCCCTTTTTCAAGGACGGCCAGTGGTACTTGTCTGCGATGATGATGGTAGTACGGGCGCTCCCGGGATGTGCGAAGGTTCCATGGGCCAGCGCTAGCACTCCAGGAATTAACCTCCTCGGCAGCGCAATCGCATGCAACTTCCCACGAGGTGCGTGGAAGAGCAGCTTTTGATCGTCCAAGACGTAATCGCCGACTTCTCCCTTGCCGGTCTCCAAGTTTCTCCTGATTGGCCCTAGCACGAAGTCCTTTTGTTGCTCCTCTGCTAGTTTCGCCGGATCGCGCAGGATTCTCTCCATCCTTTCCAGCTGCTCCGTGGGGCCCCGAAACAACGGTGTACTCGCGTCTGCCGTCTCCTCCGTAGTCGGGGTGGGTAGGTCTACACCCGGCATGCTTGCCTCGGACGCATCATCATCCGGCATCGGCGATGAAGGTGCCGCCGCTTTTCTGTGATGGCGAAGAGTACGGCGGCTCTGGCGTCGGAGTTCGCCGCCGTGGTGCCGGTGTGTCGGAGGATGTATGTGGCCTCTGGGTAGGCGCTTGGAATTCTTCGTGGTGAGCTCTCTCCGGCAGTGCTGGGGGTGCCACCTCAGAGACATCATATTCGCATATTCGTGGGTTCGTCGGGTAGCAGCCGCAGCTCGGGTGACGCGGGGAACAACCTCCTTCGCCAGCTGGTCCTGCCTCGCCATGGTTTCTCGTCGAGCTGCTGCTGCTCTTCTGGTGACTCGGGGGATGATCTTGTATCGCGACCGGTCACCTATAGCTGCTGTTTCCGCCGGCTGCAGGACCGCCACATCCCCCTCCTCGACTTCCTTGTTTTCCGAGTCCTCGTCTTCGGAGTCCACCCACAAGGTAGCCAGTCTGATGATGAGTTCTTCCTCCGGGTCGGCCGCATAGTGGGTGGTCCCGCCGGCATCATTCATCCTCCTTTGGCGCCATCCACGCAATTGCAGCAAGTTGACGACTTCCTGCCACATCGGTGCCGGTCTCCATTCCTGCATCACGCGAGCCGCATCCTTCCTCCTCATCGTGTTGGGGATGACGAAATCAACACGAGTAGTGGGTAGCTTTACGTAATCTGACCACTCCAACTCCTGCGCTTCATCCAGAGTGCTGCAATTGTTGGGGTGCGGCTTGAAGAGCTCCCGCGGGGGCTTGCGACCCATGATCTAGGCTTTGATGATCGCCACTGTCGGTTCGGCGAAAGAGAAAAGTTGTCGGTCGTTGAGGCGTCCTCTCTTCAAGGGATCCTTCGCGTCCCAGATATTCGCCTACAGACGGCGGTGAAGGAACCGGTTGTGCCACGTTCTGTTTCCATTTGCGAAGCTTAGGTTCCAGAGTGTCGTCGCCGTAACGCTTGACTGCAACAACAAACACTCGCTGTCTGTTGGTGGGGATGCCCACTGATGTCGCCTTGAGGGTTGCCGTTTCCGTCACGCAGCCCGCTATCTGCAGTTGAGGCTGTAAAGTACTCCACACCTCTGTTCCCGCGAACCTCACTGGAGTTTCCATCAGCAAGATTTGGGTTCGTGACGAGGTGAAAAGCTGTACGATGGCGGTGGCGTTGCGTTTGGTGGCCCCAGCCAAACGAATATCGTCGAATGTCCAGCATGCGTTGGCAACCAAGACTTCCGGCTTCGCCTCCGAGAGGATCTTTTGGCATGCCATCGTCTCGGTGATAGGGTGACGGGCCAAGTCAGCACCTCGAGCCCTCCCATTGGCACCCAAGCACGCAAATGTCATCCAGTCTTGAGCTATGACGTGGGTGACTTCCAGCGCATCTTTCATCGCCTCCAACGCTCCTCCTGCTCCACGGCCTAGAAAGACTGCCCTAGGCTTCCTCGCCGTGAAGAGTTGTTGCACTTCCTCTTGAACTGGCAACCACTCCTGATCTGAGTCGCCAAGCTGTTCCGGCATGAGGTGCAAAGCGTAGAAGGTGGTCAAGCTTTCCTCCTTGCTGTCGTCCACCTCCGTTGCCCTCAAGTCCGCCAGGCAGATGCCATCCAGCCTCATGTCGTCTCGCGATGTCAACGCCAGCGCTGCCAAGTCTGGCGGCATGTCCGTCGGCTCATCCTGCGGCGGCTGCTTCTCCTCTCCCAACTGCTGCGCGAGTTGTTGGAGTGGTACACCATCCAGCACTAGTCCCGACGGTCCCTGTGTCGGCAGCTCCTCCTTTCCTCCGTGCTGCGCCTCCGAAGACGAGACAGGGCATCGGGTCCCACATTCTCTGTTCCTCGACGCCACTTGAGCACCATGTCGTAGGCCATGAGCTTGAGGGCTCACCGGTGCATCTTGGAGGAGAGGTGCTGGCTCGTGAAGAGCCACAGCAGCGCCGAGCAGTCGGTGATGAGGGTGAACTGCCGGTGCTGTAGGTAGATCTCGAAGTGTTCTACAACGTGCAAAACGCCCAAGAACTCCCTGTCGTTCGCGGAAGCATTTTGCTGGGCTCGGGAAAGTCTCTTGCTGTGGTAGCCCACGGGTCTGTGGCGGGCCCCTCCGTCCACTTCCTGGGTAAGAACCGCTCCTGTGGCCAAGTTGCTCGCATCCGCGTGCACGGTAAACGGCTGAGACCAGTCTGGCAGGATAAGGATGGAGTGGGTGGTGAGAAGCTCGATGATCTTCAGGAAATCCTCTGTCTGCTCCGAGCCCCATGGCACCTTCTTGAGGCGTGCCTTCTTGGAGCTGAATGCGGGGTTTCGAAGAATGTTAGAGACCGGCGCCCTGATAGCGCTGAAGTTCGGCACGAACCCACGAAGGTAACCGGCCAGGCCCAGGAAGCTCCTCACCTCTCCCACGTTGGTCGGTATCGCCAATTCCTGGACTGCCTTGATCTTTGAAGGCGCCGGGCGGACTCCATCGCGTCCCAACATCACTCCCAGAAACTCGATCTCCGAAAGGAAGAATTCGCTCTTCTGGAAGTTCCCGGTGTATCCCCGGGCGATGAGGATCTTGACGACCCTCCGAACAAGTTCGAGGTGCTCTTCGAAGGTCGCGCTGTGAAGGCCAATGTCGTCAAGCCAATTCTCGACGCCCTTGCCTATCTCCTCTCGCAGGTCATCGCCTAACGTGGCGGAAAAAAACGCGGGGATTGTGGTGATGCCGAAGCTGGACACATTCCACTGTAGTAGCCGTCCCGTGGGGTCCAGGAAGGCCGTCTTGTGCCTATCTTTTTTTGCCACGCGGAGTTGATGGTAGGCGCTTTTCAGATCGATGGATGAGAAGTATTTGCTCCCCTTCATCCTGTCGTACACGCCCACGATGTCCCCAAGGCCGTTGACGTTCTTCTGCAGGAGCTTGTTGAGCTCCCGATAGTCAATGCACAGCCTGTAGGTCCCATCCTTCTTGAGAACCGGCACAATTCTGGCACACCACTCCGACGTTGCGAAGCTGAGGATGCCCGCTTCAAGTATGTCGTTGATCTGCTTCATGAGAATGTCCGACATTTGCGGGCTAAACCTCTGTGCCTTGCACGAGAACGGCTTGACGTTTTCGTCGTACAACGGCAGCGTCACCTCTCTCCCTTCGATGACTTTGATGAGCTTGGTGTTCTTCGGGAAGAAAGCTTGATCTCATTGAGCATATCAATAACGCTGGTGGCTCTCCGGTCCCAGTTGCTCGATCTTGGCTTGGGTGACGTCTACTCCCGGGTCTTCCAGATCGCCCGGCGTAGGAAGTGGAGCTGCTGCCTGCAGCTGGGGTTGCGGGTGACCTTCCTTGATGTCGTCCGGTCGGCTCTCTGGCAGCTACTCTTTGAGGAGCACCATGCGCTCAACGTCGTCGCTGTTGATGAATGCGGTCGCAGAGACCATCCCCTTGGGAATAATCGCTGGGGTGTGGTCCAAATTGTCCACCTTGACCTTCAGTCGTGATCCTGGTATCCACCATACGGCCCCCTTGGCGATGCCGATTGCCAGTTGGTTGTCCTTGCTGTCTAAATTGAAAGGGGCACGAGGGTACACCACCACCAAAGTTTTGGTGTATGGAATGGACCCTTCGACTTGAACCTCCAGCTCCACGCTCACGTTACCAGGCACTGTGATGTCGCGGTCGAAGGTCATGTCCCATTTCAGGGTTCCCTCGTCTTGCCACACTGTGACTCCCAGCTCCAAAGCTTCCATGACCATAGCCTCGGATGGTGCTGAAGTCTGATTCTCGTCCAAACTGATGATCCACTCCTGGTCATCTGGAGTTCGTACCCTCATGGCGTTCTCCTCCTGGTCGTCCTCGCTTGCTCCCTCCATAGCATGCAAAATCCCCTCCTTCTGTCGCGGCCGCTCCAGCCACGGCAAACGGGGAACTCTCTTCGATGTCGGAGTGGGTTTGAACCACCCCGAACCTGGGCGTTCGAGGATGAGCGAACTCTCGTACCTCCTCAAAAATTCAGTGCCCACAATGAGTCCAAGCGGGAGCTGTTCAACCACTCTAACTCGCATCGCAAAGACTCTGTCGACGGGAAGGAAGACCAAGAAGAGGACACCCGTTCCCAGGATCATCATCGGAAGTTCCTTGCTAGACTCTGGGTTGGCTGCTCTCAAGCGTCCTTTGTCCCTCTTGAAGATCAAGTTACGACCTCCGTACATCGCGAGTTCGATTTCGCGAATGAACTTCGCGCTTGCGAAGTTTCCTCCCCCCGCCCCCGAATCAACGAGAACATTGAGCACTCTCGTTTGTTGTCGGGTTCGGTTGTTCCACACGACCGCACGCACCCAGGCTTGGTGCGATCTTGGAGTCGTCGATCTTTCTGTGGGCGGGAGCCACATCAGGTGCAACGTTGTAAACGTTCTCGACCATGGGCTCTCGCGTGCGATGTAGTGCTGCCTTGTTCCCCCGAGAAGTTTCCCCGAGTGCGCCCCCTCAGTGGTGGAGAGAGCCCTCCTCCTTGGAGTTCGTCTGGTCGACATCGTGGTCGGCCTGCTCCGTGTCGAGCGGAGTAAAGGTGTGCTGCTCGTGTGAGAGCGATTCCGTCGTGTTGAGAAGGGCAACTCGGTCTGGTCGTGCTGGAGTTGTTCCGCCTGGACCATAAGCAGTTCGTGTTGGTTTGCGAGACGAGCCTCCTCCTCGTTAGCCGGCGGCTTGGTGTTGTAGTCCCTAGGATATGCCCCGAACGGAATGGGCTGGGTCGTATGTAGGTATGGACAGCACCCTTGCTCCACCATCTTGGGGCACTGCTTTTCCCGGGCGTGAAAGAAGCACACCTTCTTGCTGACGATGTAGTCGTCAATCACCTGCTTGTCGGCGCTTGGCTTCGGTGCATCTGCCGGAAGCTCTGTCTTGGGCATGGGCATGGCCCTCCTGCGCCTGTGCCGTCCCTGGTTGCGGCCGCCGCGAGGCTGAGCCCACGAGGAGAAGGTCCTCTGACCTTCCGCAGGCCTCTGAGTAGTCGGACTTTTGTTGAAGTGCCTCTTGGGTCGAGACGCTGCCGGAGATTGCTGTTGATAGTCCCTCTGTCGCTTCCTCGTGAACGCTCCCGGCGAAGCCAACGCCGCTAGTTGGTCCGGCGGCTGGCTCGAGGTGTCGAAGCTGTTGAACGTGTTGAAGCCGTCGGACATGTCGTTGGTGGCGTCGAAACCTTCGTCCTCGACCACTGCAAAGATGGCATCGTGCACCCGCTTCTTGATGTTGTCGCTGACGGCGCGACGCGCCTTGTGGTCACGCAGGTCGGGTTGGTAAAAGGCCAACTGCGGACCGAACCAGACGGGCGGATGCCCCTGCTGGCTAGCAGGACCCTGAGGGACGGGGAGGGTGTCACTCCCTGGGGGGGGCTGCTGGTTGAAGCCTCCCTGCTGGGGCTGCTGGTGCTGCTGTTGGTGTTGGTGGTTCATGTTGTTTTTGTGTCCTGTGGATGGTTTACTGGACGTAGAATTGAACGTGAATTCTATCTGTCTTCGGCGAATTTCATGACCCTTTGAGGTACTCTCTTGTCGGTCCTCGTTCTATCCCCTCCCTTTTTGTTTTCGACGGAGGGGTGACTGTAAGGAGAGCAAGGTAGGCGTGGTGTATGCGAAAGAACCATGAAAGTGACCCCACAAAGGGTACCTGACCGAAAAGAGAGAACAGAGTCGAAGGACAAGAGATGGAGGGTCGAAGAGAAGGGAAAAAAAACAAGACCTAAGACAAATATGATGCGCTCATGTAGGACACGCGAAGTGCATGCCCAGATGTATTTCAGGTCATATAAGCCTCCAGGCACAGGAAAGAGAGCGGCGGATCACGTGAGAGCAGATTAAAGATCCGTAGCTCGCGTAATAATAATTCTGTCTACTAGTTTCCACCGGTCGGAAGATCACAGAAAACACGAGACCAAGAAACCCATGCATGGCACACAGCATTCCAATGGAAAATACCACCGGGCATCGTTGCTACAACCCTCAGCATGCGACGCACGAAGGTAGACCAACAAGGTAGATAGTAGGCCAAATCAGCAACAAAGGGTACACGATAAGGCCCCTCTCCCGGAGCCATACCCCAAGAAGAAACGGAAAGAAAATAGACAACAGGGACACAATACCGTGTCGGACATCAATGTCCCGCCAAGAAAAGGCAAAGCAAGTCAGAAACTTCGCCGTCGAATGCCTTGTACATGACGGGAAGGAAAGCAGCACAAAACAACGTGGACGGCGCACACGGTGCGAACGAAATTCACCACATTGCGATCTGCTGGAAGGAAAAAGAAAATGGCCCATGAAAAATGAGATACTGCTATAGCTACCTCACGTAGGATAGATCCCTTTGATTCACGAGTACAGCCCTGTTCGGTCCCTACGGAAACGTTGGCGGCGGTTAGCGTCGTGGTAAATGACTATCATGTCGTCGTTGTAGATGGTGACACGAATAGCGTAGGGGGGACGCCGGCTCATATCCTCGCGTTCGCCGTTGATACGCGTAGGAATGATGAGAACTTCAGAAGGTGGGTGCTGCATAGTGTGTTGATTTCGGCAGTCACGTGGGAAGAAATAAGAAAGCCGGCGGGGGAAATACGGACGAGAGTCACGAGTGAGTGGCGGTCATCATCTACAGGGATAGGAAGTGTATACCTGTACTGTTCGCACCGAAAGCATCAAGGTTAAAGTATAGCGTGGGAGAGAAAGAAAATGATATCGAAGCACATCCAAAAGTGGTCTGACCATCGCGGAGACAACGATACGTAAAAAAAGCCCCAATGGTCTACTTGTTGTGCGTGTAGAGACAGCAGCTACACCAACGCTGTACAACGCAACCGAACAAAACCAACAGTGTGACACTAGCACGTGCGTGTGCACCTGATGGTCGTCCACTCAGGGCGTTCGTCGATATTCATCTTCCAACCCAAGGGCGAAGGATAAGGGATGCTTTCGCATGCGCAAGCGGAGATAGGCTAAAACGTACTGCTGTGGGCAGGGATGCTGCAGCCGTAACAGCAAGCAGTGAATAAACGACCACGGTACAGCGATTTCCACATTGTCAAGGCTCGTGAATAAAAACGTCAGGTTACTCGCGGGTAAAACGAAGCCGAAAATAGGGAGGCCGGTTATAGTAGTCCAGGATAGCGAATCCAACAGCAGTGATGCTGCAGTCACAGAGAGACACACGAACGATACGGAGGCATCTGTAGTCTAGGATACTCGTAGATCGTTGGTAGAACGTCAAAATGCGACCGGAAGGCAGTGACAGCTGCCGCTGCACGAAAACAGGACGCCGACCTGCGAACCAGCGGTCATGACGGTCAGACACATGATAGGACTCAAGCGTAAGCCGGTCATACGGTGTTCAATCGGAGCACCAGGGCGTCAATGGAAAACTGTGAAAGTTGGCCAGGAAAGCAGGTGCGGCGGATTTTCAGACACCACGTCAGACAGGCATCTATCTCTGCGACGGTCGTTTGCCATCACATGAAGAGAAAATGAATCAAAACTAGAGAGGAGCACCACAGTGCATAGAGCATCAAACAGCAAGGTTGGTTGATCACATGGACTTGGGTAGCCTCGCGTACGTGGGTGGTACAAGGAGAAAAGAACAGTAAGCAAAGTGATGCAGCAGAGCCCGCAGAAAGTCGAGGAGTAGCCAAAATCGGGTACACCCGGCCCCAATCCGGCCATTATCGGGTACACTTGTTATTCACAATCGGCAGCACCCTCCTGGCGCCATCTGATCGGCCGACGACCGCCCCTACCCGGCCCTGACCCTATTCCCACCGGGTGCACCCGATCTTGGCCACTCACCCCCCGGAGGGTACCCGATCTTACTCTCGCCTACCCGAAAATGGCTGGGCTATTCGACCAACAGATCACCAGCAGACCACGCTCACGAACACACGTCACCAACTCCCCGCACTCGAGNAAATCGGGTACACCCGGCCCCAATCCGGCCATTATCGGGTACACTTGTTATTCACAATCGGCAGCACCCTCCTGGCGCCATCTGATCGGCCGACGACCGCCCCTACCCGGCCCTGACCCTATTCCCACCGGGTGCACCCGATCTTGGCCACTCACCCCCCGGAGGGTACCCGATCTTACTCTCGCCTACCCGAAAATGGCTGGGCTATTCGACCAACAGATCACCAGCAGACCACGCTCACGAACACACGTCACCAACTCCCCGCACTCGAGTTCCGACGCTTCCGACGGCGGGCGGAGGCGGACCTAACGGCCTAACGGTGGTCTGTTGGTCGAATAGCCCAGCCAATTTCGGGTAGGCGAGAGTAAGATCGGGTACCCCTCCGGGGGGTGAGTAGCCAAGATCGGGTGCACCCGGTGGGAATAGGGCCAGGGCCGGGTAGGGGCGGTCGTCGGCCGATCAGATGGCGCCAGGAGGGTGCTGCCGATTGTGAATAACAAGTGTACCCGATAATGGCCGGATTGGGGCCGGGTGTACCCGATTTTGGCTACTCCTCGACTTTCTGCGGGCTCTGCTGCATCACTTTGCTTACTGTTCTTTTCTCCTTGTACCACCCACGTACGCGAGGCTACCCAAGTCCATGTGATCAACCAACCTTGCTGTTTGATGCTCTATGCACTGTGGTGCTCCTCTCTAGTTTTGATTCATTTTCTCTTCATGTGATGGCAAACGACCGTCGCAGAGATAGATGCCTGTCTGACGTGGTGTCTGAAAATCCGCCGCACCTGCTTTCCTGGCCAACTTTCACAGTTTTCCATTGACGCCCTGGTGCTCCGATTGAACACCGTATGACCGGCTTACGCTTGAGTCCTATCATGTGTCTGACCGTCATGACCGCTGGTTCGCAGGTCGGCGTCCTGTTTTCGTGCAGCGGCAGCTGTCACTGCCTTCCGGTCGCATTTTGACGTTCTACCAACGATCTACGAGTATCCTAGACTACAGATGCCTCCGTATCGTTCGTGTGTCTCTCTGTGACTGCAGCATCACTGCTGTTGGATTCGCTATCCTGGACTACTATAACCGGCCTCCCTATTTTCGGCTTCGTTTTACCCGCGAGTAACCTGACGTTTTTATTCACGAGCCTTGACAATGTGGAAATCGCTGTACCGTGGTCGTTTATTCACTGCTTGCTGTTACGGCTGCAGCATCCCTGCCCACAGCAGTACGTTTTAGCCTATCTCCGCTTGCGCATGCGAAAGCATCCCTTATCCTTCGCCCTTGGGTTGGAAGATGAATATCGACGAACGCCCTGAGTGGACGACCATCAGGTGCACACGCACGTGCTAGTGTCACACTGTTGGTTTTGTTCGGTTGCGTTGTACAGCGTTGGTGTAGCTGCTGTCTCTACACGCACAACAAGTAGACCATTGGGGCTTTTTTTACGTATCGTTGTCTCCGCGATGGTCAGACCACTTTTGGATGTGCTTCGATATCATTTTCTTTCTCTCCCACGCTATACTTTAACCTTGATGCTTTCGGTGCGAACAGTACAGGTATACACTTCCTATCCCTGTAGATGATGACCGCCACTCACTCGTGACTCTCGTCCGTATTTCCCCCGCCGGCTTTCTTATTTCTTCCCACGTGACTGCCGAAATCAACACACTATGCAGCACCCACCTTCTGAAGTTCTCATCATTCCTACGCGTATCAACGGCGAACGCGAGGATATGAGCCGGCGTCCCCCCTANTGATAGAGATGGACTCGTTGTGTCATATTAAGAAAAATAAAAAAAAACAATTTCAGCGCCAGCAAGAAGACGTTGTTGTTGTTGTTGGCCCTCTTGACCACGCACGTGGAGATGCCTCCCTACCGGACAGATCTTGAAAGGTCGAGGTGTCCAACCACGCTCATGATATTCGACCTCATCGTAAACAGGGTCTGTCGTGTGCACACGCAAACACGTGCATTCAACACTCGGAAAAAGCGTATCGCGGGTGGTGTCGTACAGCAGTCGCAAGTACGCAAGAACAGCCCGCAAAAAAGGAATTTTGCCTGCTGTCGTGGCGTCGTTTGACAGGAGATGTTGTGCATGCACATCTTACCGATCTTGTAAGGATCCGGGGTATCCAGGTCACATGAATGATCTCCTAGGTCTTCGCTAACCGTGTGTTTCGTGGGCAATCGTGGACACATGAATGCATCGCAGCAGTACAGCCGTAGGTACCGTGCGTACAGGAAAAAAACAGACTGACGTAAGGTCACATGTTTTTAGTCCGGCTGAGCACGCATAAAAAGGCACTCGGAGAGATTGGTTTCATGATCCCTCCATGGGTAAAACGGCGAGAAAAACGATGCGGTCTGGTGCATAATCCATCCTTATGAGAAGGGAAACATGGTCTAGTAGGTGTGATAACGAATCGATGTCAAGGGTAGTCGGAGGGTGAAGACAACCGAGGGGTACTTTTGAGCTTGCAGGGGGTCGATCCAGACCCACTATTTTTTTGGAATAAAAAAAAAAAATCAGGGCACGCGACGACAGCGCATCTCTCTGCATGTCGTGAATCAAGCACAAGACGTCCGAAGGTGTACAAAAAAGAGATCCCAAGCACCTCCACCATGTAACCTACTCCTCCGCTATGTAACAGTAGTCGAAAGTGATTAAGCCTGGGTATTCCATGGACACACGTACGCACTAACTGGCTGGGGTTCAGTTGGTGGTACGCTTTTGAAATGGGGTAGTCTAGAGTTGAAGTAAAGAGGGGAATCTCCACACGTGTCACTGACTATCCTTGCTCTTCGGAATGTGGGTAAGCCCACCGTCAAGGAGTTGTATCTGACCCCACGAGTAAATCTCGATCGTTCACGAGGCACCTGAACTACATGCACACACCGAACGTTGACGTCCCCAAGGACTAGCCGTCTGACGGACTCCTTACGTGGGAAGTGGTTCCGATATACCCGGGGTTGGGTGTGTTTTCTCAGATTTGGCTTGCTCTTCGATCGACCGTCGTTGCGTCGTTTTTGTAGTCTGTGAACGCTTATTCAGCGTTAAGGGGCTCCGCCGAATCATCATCTGAAAACAGGGGCATACTGCTCCACACACGGATTAATCCGTGTGACTCCCCTCGAGTATCCTGATCGGTCTGGATTTCCCATATCCAAACCGGTCAGGATACCGTCAACAGGATTTCCGTCCCTTGCGGGACGCTCACAACGNGGTCTGGATTTCCCATATCCAAACCGGTCAGGATACCGTCAACAGGATTTCCGTCCCTTGCGGGACGCTCACAACGCCGCCCTGATTAGCCGCCGTGACACTATATACTGATGGTTTGAAGCAACAAACAGGTCGAGAGTTGGCCAGGCCAGTCGAAGGTAGAGGCCGAGGGATTGCTTGTGCACGTCCGTTTGGAGCACGATTTCGTTTTTTAGTCTTGTGTTGTTGCAGAATGTTCGGCGATGGCATGATAAGAAACGACACAAACAGCACCGAATGACCAAGACGATACACGTCAGGATATACAACACCCAAGCATGAAAAAAAACGAGAGGTGCTGGACTCACTCGGAGAGGCTGATGGTTCCGTCGTGGGAACGATCAACTTCCTTGAACATGCAATTCACGAAGTCCTCCATGCTCTTGGCACTCTTTTGGAAACGTCCAAAGTTGTCCCGATGCATGAGGTGGAACACCTGGGGGGATCACACGTTGAACAAACGCACCATACATTTATATGCTCCTACCTACAGTAGCATGCTCCAGAGGGCGTACGTTTTTCTTGTGTAACAAAGATGTGTCTGGCATGACAGTTGGTACCATGGAACACGGTATCCGAATTGAAAGTAAAAAAAATGGGAGCAAGTGAAGACAACTATCACCAACAGTTGTTGGGAGCGCTCGAAGTTGCATCGCTGCGTGAAGCTGCATGCCTATGCTAAATATCGTTGTTGTTGTTGTTGATGTTGTTATTATTGTTGCTGTTGTCGTTGATCACGATGATACCTCCACGTCAGGAATTTTTCTTGCGCCAATCCAGCACCTCTATAATGCTGCCCTTCAACGCGCAGCAATTGATTCCCATGGTCGCGACATAAAAACGCAACACCACAATAAAGTGGGACGACAAGATCCAGAGAGTCCCAACACTACCACCTTGCCCAACACAGAAGGGCAAGGACACGTCCAATGAAACGAAAGAAATAAAACCCCATGTGCTCCACCTACTCGGAAGCTGTGTGGCAAACACAACACGCTTCACAGGTACAAGTACATCTACTTATTTGTGGTGGGCATTGGGGTATGACTCTTCTGGGTAGCGTTTGATTTCGTCCATCCTCCTCCTTTCTTCTGTTCATTTTTCGATGCAACTTTTTGTTCGAACGTCGCTTGCTTGAACCAACCCACCCTTTGCCGCCTTGTCATTATGTCTATTTTCGACATGATTTGCGGTCCGCGGTGGACCCGACATGCCCGACCGTACCATGCTGCAGCATCGTTTCGCATGAAATATCTAACCGCATCAAAAAAGGACCTACCTCATCCTGGGCCTTAGAGAAGAGCTTTCTTGTAAGCAGAGCCTCCCCATTCTGAACAGCTTGCCACTTTTCTCTTATCCCTTTCCTCGTGGAGGCGCTAATGTTCACCTAGAAAGTCAGGGTTGGTGCACATGTTAGTCGGTTGTTGCCTCCATTTTGGAAGCTATTCCAATCTCTACAAGGTGTCCAACGTCCATCCGCTTCTCGTTGAGCGCTCCCTCGCAAGTTGGCGACGAACAGAATCAAGGTTCCAACCAACGATTTCCTATCGTATAGTACGAGGATCTTCATAGTGGTGGCGCCACCCCAATATCGTATATAATGTGGTATGGCCCTCGTCTGTTCCGGGTCAAACCAGGAAATCGAACCATCACGTTTCCCACCAATGATAATACGATAAAACCCCCCATGTAGTGTGGGCGTTCTACGTGTTTCTTTGCCTCTCCAGTGAGGAGGCGGAATGGATGCGTGGACTCGAAATAGTCCATGGCGTTCTGCACGATTCAACCAACAAGAACGTGCTCGGGTGACGACACGAACGTGCCTAAGTTTTAGACAAATGGGCTGGGTGGCATGTGGCTGTTTCCTTCAGAAAAGAGGCAAATATACGTCGTACACGGTTGTTTCGGAGACTGCCTCTTCGACCTTCGGACACAAGAAAAAAATGCGGCGAAACTTCTTGCCTGTTTCGGCGCCCCTTCACGGATGTACCCGTCGTACAGGGTCTGAGCCTTGGCCAACGTGGGAATAGACGACGCAAACTGGTCCGCGCTT